ACGCGCAATCGAAGACATAATTTGATAGTAATATTATCGCCTAAAGCGCAAAGTTTATATCATTTTGACGAAACTGATTTTGAAACGACCTGTACGATATAATTATTATAGCTTGTTACATAAGAAACTTGTTACATAACATTTTTCAATTTCTTTAAAAAGCATGCGTTAACTTTGTAGGTGCATACTTTCTCATTTTAACGTATTTATCATCGTCTATATATGTATATCTCGTGGATATATCTTGCCTTTAGATAACTTTATCGTAAATATAAATGTTTATTAGTATACTTTTCCTAACTATATTTTATCAAGAATCATTTTAGAATATCTATTATTTTGTGAGCAATAAAGTTTGTGCAATCTGAAAGAAAAGTTTATCTTACATATATGTGTTGCAAAATTGTCCCTGATTATTCATAAAATTACCTGCTTTTCATTACATGCTTTACCACATGTGATACATGAGCTCTTTATTTAATTGTTACTTGTTTTTTTTGTACATTTAATTATTACACTAGCAATTGAAAGAATAAAATTAAACAATCGCTTTTATATATAATATTTCTTAGAAGCAAAATTTAATTTAATCAAATAAAAAAGTTCTATACATATATATATGACAAGATTTCAATTTTAGTTATGTTGAATCAACATACACTGGGGGGGGGGGACTGTCAGGAATCTCACATAAATTTTGATTGTGTCGCGAACATTTGTTGGAGTTGCAATTTCACAAAATAAAAATATACAACTATGTATATATATATATATATATATAGTCTTTTTGTACTTGTAGGCCAAAAGATTAGTTTCACAATATAATTTAATTATTTCGACGTAGTCATATCGACGCAATAATCTAACAGAGTTTTGTTCATCAAATCACGTCGCTGGACTTGATATAATTGTCTGGCAAAATCTGTGGGATGTCTTATGGGAGGTTCATCGGCTGCACACCAAGCGATATATACGCGGCGTACGGAACGCTGCATCAAGTTCCTTCGTACAAAACTTGAGCTAAACCAATCTCCACACTGACCTGCAGCCAACGAGACCACCGTGTATGCGCGCAAAAAAGATCTCACCGTATATGCTGGACACATACGCGCGCGCGTATGTGTAAAACACATTGCTCTCTGTGTGTCCCGTCTTTTCGTCCTACTCTCATCGTGGTCACGGGACGAATGCCGCACGAATCTCCATCCTCGTCTCGCAGACCCCCCCACTTCCTCGCCTCGTACACTCGGTACGATTCCGCGTCGCGTAAGACTAGACCCCTACTTACGGATCGAGTGATGATAGTAGAAGGGAGCAGTCAGGCACGTAGGCGGAGTTAAACCAAGCCACGCCCTATCGCGTTGCCCCTTTACCAGCCCGGTGCGCTCGTCAAATGTTTTTCGTCGCGGATTATGACGCGGTCTGCGCGATTATGACCACCTCTCTCTTTCTCTCGCCCGCGCCGTCGTTCTCTTTCCATCTTACGTTATTTCCCCCTGACTCCGCATATCACGGCGCTCGGTGGCGGGATTTTTTTCTTTCCCCTTCTTTCTCTCTTTTTCTGTCTCACACCGCTATCTCCCTGCCGACGAGGACAAACTTTGCTCTTGCCTCAGCCGTTCGCTACCACGTCGTCTCGGACACGCGAAGAGGCGACTAAGCTCCTTCTCTTTCTCACTGTGGGGTTTCTTGCAGTATATATGTACTCGTAGGATTTTCAGACGTTCTTTCTCTCGCCTTTTGCTTCATATATATATATATATATATATATATATATTTTTTTTTTCGTTTTCTTTACGTTTCACTGCCTCTATCCGATAGCTAACATATAGAAGCTTCGATTGCCGTCGCACATTTTCCTCAGATCGATCAAGAAAAGAAAGAAAACGAAAAGTGTAGAATGAGCTGTCTACGATGAGTGTCTGATAATCTAGCAGGATGGAGACAAATGAGAACTGGTATAAGGTGACGTTATGAGAAATAATTTATCAGATGTACACGCTGTGTTAATACGTTTTGTTACATGAATAACTCAACTTGTTTAATCTTTTACTCCAAAGATATACAAGAAATAAGAAAATTTCTTCTTTAAAATAAAATTGATTTGGGAAAATCTTTTTTAATTTGAAAAATCTAGACATATGCTATAAGTTATATTTAAATCAATAAAATATTATAAAGATATCGCATTTTACATTAATATTAACACTAATATTAACTTTATGTAAATTATTATATATATTTTATAATACACAAATTTTCTATATATAATAAAACTTATACATATATGTATATTATAAATTTTTTTTCGCGTTATATAATATCGATGCATTCAATTCGACGTGTGTTCTGAAGTATGTTTACCTACATGAAATTTGAAACATGATTAGAGGCAAAAGTCTTCAAGCACTATTATTATTTTTCTCTTGTGAAGTAAATCAGAAAAATTGAGTTCATAAAAAGTGCAATGGAAAAGTGCACGTTGCCAATAATTCACTGTAGAAGCAATAAATAATGAAGCAACATGATCCGCCCCTTTATTCCAGACGTTTAATCCTCCCGCGTTTCTCTCTCCCCATATAATTACGATTAAACCGGATCACGGCCTGGCAGACTGAATTTCGCTGTGGGCCAATAAAAAAAAACAATTTCCGATCGACGGTTTCAGTGTGATGGTCTCACTCTTTATGATGCTCCCGAATAATGTGATTCTGGATGCATAATTCCAGTCCGCACGAGTAGAAAAGCCTTCTCGCGGATTTGGCAACACTGTGATGCTCTGGGCGTCTCAGCGACACTCTGTGGCGCGAAGGACGAGCGTCGAGCGTTTCACGACAGAGAAAAAGCGGGAGAGGTTTCGCTAGGAGTAAAGGGTGAAGGGCGGCACCCACGAGAGACGAGACGGGGAAGCACGGCGGACGACAGAGACGGTAAGCGCGAGAGGGGAACGGATTGGATCACGTGATACCATAAGAGGGGATGATCGCGGTAACGGTAGGGGTATAGAGGGTGTGGCTATGGGTTTCCTCTCTGTCGCTGCTACCGCTGAAACGAGAGACGGAGCGCCTGAGAGTGCGAGCGAGAAGGATGGAGTGAGATAGGGTGAGACTCATGACGCTGTACCGTGCGAATTTTGGCACGGCTCTCGAAAACTTCTCACTCGCGGTATTTCGCGGAAAACTCGGTGAATTCCCGATGTGGTTGCAATTGTATTGCATTACGGCGATGATAAAGTATATTCGCCGCACGCGAGTGCACGTACGATGGAAAGATATTTATATGAATATCTATACATTTTTGAGCGAAACTCGTCGCCAAACTTGATTTTACACAGATGAATTATATTTCAAGCCTCGTTCTCAAGATTACAATATGTAATAATAGTGCTTCTCCGAGGTACTATTATGCATGTTGTAATTTTTTCGAATAAGGCTTTTTATATAATTTCGATCGAACTTCACTTACAGACTAGTTCGTTTCATCTTCAATTGCGTGATTTTTCGTGACTCATTCTGATTCGCTCGAATAATCTTGATATTTTTTCGATTCCGGAATTGTAAGATATAATAAGTCAGAAGATGTAATATTATTGTGGCAAAAGTACATTACATTATACTACACCTTATTAAATGGAGATATGTTATACTCCATATCATTAAATTAGAATTTTTGAAGATGTATTCCTTATTATTAATTTAGAATTTTATTAAAGACAGTTGAAGTTAAAGTTAATAATATCTGAATAGGAATTACTAAAAATGTGCAGTTAGTACACGAGCATCTGTTCATATCATCCATATTATCCGAGTAATCGAAATTCGCTTATACATAAATTTTAATTCTTTTATTATAATGGAGTTAAATGATTCGGAACGCGTGTTAAAAATATTGCATTTAATGAAATACGCAAATCTAAGCTTACTGATAATATAACATACATATATGATAAATGTATAATATTTAAGCAAATTTCTCGATTATATTCAAACAGTATGGCCAACTAATGAAAATTTATTAGTATTTACTAAAACTATAATGTGCGTGAAAATATAATGCGTGTTCGAGTAACTCATTTCTCAATCCTAATCAAATTATTTATTTTTTTCAAGAAAAAATTCGAAAAATTGTCCTCTCGCTCTGGTTATACTTGAATTTTTATTAGAAGAAAAATAAGACTTTGTTATCTCGGAAAAAAAAAACTGTTCAATCAAAAGAATGCAATTTAATCGAGATGCGAAATGATATCTGATAGCAGTGGCATTATTCTATGATACACGAAACGAAGGTGTCGACCAACGTGGCAACTCAGATGTGAAAATTCTCTCGCGTGTCAAATGCGAGAGCGTTAACGTTCAGTCGGCGAAGATTCGAGCGAGCTCCACTAACGACACCTCGCGACGTCGCGTCGGTCGTGCGCTCCCTTCCTCCGTATTTCGATGCCCCCGCCCTCGTTGGAAGGCAGTGACGCAGGGTGGTGTTAATGGGCGTACTCGCGGTTAACACCCTTAGAAGGAAGATAGTGGGGGCGCACGTCGAGGGTACCGTTCACCGACGACAAACGAAAGGCCGGCGCGAGTGTGTATACGTGACGCGTAGCGGTGGGGATAAGTCCGTCAGGAGAGGAGACAGGGAGAGCGTGTGTGCGAAGGCGCGAGTGAGACCGGTCGTTGGCTCGAGTAGCGTCGGAAAAGGCGTCGAGTCCAACGCCGCTCGGATTGGCGCCGGAACGCCAATCCGGAGTACGAGCGCTCATTATCGCCCGACCGGTTGGTAGGGAGAAGGTGCCGCGAAATTCACCCTATCCCTTCTCCCCACCGGGTCGCCGGGTTCGTTTCATCGCGGTCTTTGTTGCTCGGTCCTTGTCGCTCTCGCGGCTGCTTGCAGACAGTTGGGGAAGGCCGGACCCCCACTCCCGAGCCTGGCTGGTGATAGAGGAAGGGAGGAGGAGCCCCCGCCCGCATGGTCTCAGTCTTCGCGTCGCTGCCCTCCAGCATTCACGCCTCCCGCGTCCGTTCTGCGGCGCAGGCACAGACCGCGGTCTGTATACACGCGCGCGTAACGCACGCACACACGGTGCCGCGGACCACCCATATACACGCGGCCGTCGCCGCGCGTACCATATACACACCGCCCTGAATCCGGACGGGGACTTTAGCACACCAACACCTCCGTGGGAGGTGTGGGGGTGAGCCCCCAGAGTAGGTGTCAATCCTAGCGCTGCTCAGTGACCATCGCGGCGCCACCCAAGTAACACCTTTCGTCCGAAAGGCTCTTCTTCTTCAGCCCCGACCGAACGTCCTCGTCTCGTCGTCGAGAGAAGGATAAATCCGCGCGTCGATCCTCCTGTTTATTTGTCATCGTCGTCGAATCGTCCACTTTTGCGCTACCTCGTGTCGCCGATCACGCGTGAGAGACCGGCGTGTGACGAACATTTCCCTACGTTCAACTGGACTGTCCTCTGTCGCTCTACTCTGTCAAGACTGGGGATCTTTTATCGTCCGTCGGACGATCAAACGAGTGTCCGAGTGTCGCGTTTTGAAGCATTCGAGAGAAAAACGAACAAGAGGAAAAGACGGCGGCGAAAGATTTTGCGAACGAGTCGGTGACAAGTAAGTGATTAGTGAGAACGACGGATTTGCCTACAACAACTATGGCCTAGAGTGACTCGCGGCTAGTGTCTCGACATGGGAGTGACTCTTATACTGAAGATCTATCACGCGGCGTCGTCCCCGTAGACGTCCGCTCGCGAGTGTTCCAGCTCGTCGACGATTCCGAGTGTCAGTGTACCTCTCGTCGGGCTCGGCCCGATTAGATTAGGTGCTTCGAAAACGGACGATAGTCTCTCGCGAGTGATAGTCCGATCGAATGTACTCGGTGCCACTTGGTGAAAGATCGCTGAAACGTCGGACATTCCTGCCGGCAGGATCGAGGGTCCGCATCGTAAGATGTCGACTAGGCAATTTCCATCGTCATTCTGCAGTAGCGAGACGATCGTCGGCGATTTCCTACGCGGGCCGGAAATTGGCGCGAAAATACGTGGGCGTCCCGCCGAGGAACGTGATCCATAGTGATCTTGAAGGCGCGTTGCTTCTCTCTCGTGGGAACGCGTGGATATGTGGAGGAACGAGCGCAATCGTTTTCATTGACCTAACCTAAGCAGATAGATTCGCGCGAGGAAGAGTGAACGCAGTCGGAGCGTCGAGCGTCGAGCGTCCGTCCGACGGCTCGTGAACGACTCCCGCGTGCGGAATTCGGGTCGTAGAAATTCGGGTAGGAGGCGAGCAAAATCCCCAGAGCGGCGCGGCGCAAGGTTTGAGTCACTCGAAGAGGAATCTCGCGCGACTCGGCACACCCGCCCGTCTCGATGAGATTCGAACAAGACACGGCGTGCAGGGGTACCCACTGCGCCAGCACTCCGCAACCCTCCGCGCTGCAGCAGCGATCACGGCCCGAGGAGGTGGTGGTGGAGGAGGAGGAGGACTCCTCCGCGAAGGACGTCGACGGTCAACGACGTAGACTTGGCATAGAATTGGAGGCTAACGTGGTCGAGGGTGCGAATACGGGGCCGCGGGCCGAGGCCGGGGGGCCTGGGATGGCGTATCCCGCGTCAGCGACGGCTCTGAATCAACATTCGACCTTCGCTAACTCGATCGCCGGCGGCACGCCGCCCGCCAGCAACCCGAACGGCCACATCACCGGACCCCCACCCGCACCGGCGGCACCCCGACCGACCGGCCTTAGCGGCCTCTCGCT